AATGTTACTGTTTACCTTGTTAAATACCCTATCACGATAAGGTTTTCATGCATTATTCTTATCTACTAGTGTCTTATGTTTTTTAATTGTGTTTATTCTAATTTACAGTCTAATGATGTCTTGTAATTGTTTGTTGTGTCATCATTTAGCATATATGTTCTGGGGCTCTATGGGGGATAGTACATTGAAATACCATACAATCCCCATACTGCTTCTCGGAGAATAAAAACCTGATTTCATGTTGCCTGTTGTCTGATTACATCTCGAAAAATCTTTGGTTTGAGAGGAGGTGCAATTAAATGGTCAGCCAATCAAATTCTCGTATGAAACACTTCTATACACACTGATAATTCATTATCTATATTCACTGGGTATTTTGAAAACTTATCGTTCGTCTTTGATGCCTTGCACCATGTGTTGTATTATTTTATAAGGAACCCTGCAAATATCTACATGGCCTCATAGGCCCGTTGTTCATTAGTCACTTTCTAGTCACCAACACTATCAGTATTTGTTGGTTATACAATTATTGTTTAATATAATCGAATATGTTCGAATAACAAAACTTTCACTGAAATCTGTATTACATATGAATATATTTACTTGTGTTTACAAAACTCCACTCAAGTTTTACACGGAAAATAATACAGCAATAAGAAATGTTATGTAAACAACATCGTACCAAGTTCATTGAATGATAGCTACCCATACTTTTCTCTAGAATCTACAGAAATATCCACACATTTGTCACGAGGAAAACCCAATATAAACAAAATCAGAAAACATATTCCGTATTTTCCGTATACAAAAACGGCGAGGCCTGAAAAGCTATGTATTAGACTATTTATGTTTCTGCAAATATCCATCACAATCAAAAAACTATCACACTAAAAGAAAGTGTATCGGCGCGAGAGCTCGTGTAGATGTAGTTCTCTTTATTTTGAAAGCAATTATCTGCATGAGATGCCATGCCTGTAGTTCGAAATGAGTTTTCCCATTATAATTCCAAAATAAACATACATACATACATACATACAGTGAAAATCTTCAGTAACGGTGATGCTAATAGAGGATATTCCGTACAATTGCGAGATCTCGCGAGATGCATGAAAGGCGCGCGTCGAACGTCTGCCGCAAAAATCGAACGATTTGATTTTGAACTAGAATTTCTTTATTTCGTAGCTCACATCGGCCGGCCGATCTTCGGCAGAGAAATATTTCTTCCGAATACCTTTACTTAATCGAAATTGCCTATCATTAAATGTGTACAGCACATTATTAAGCATGGAAATGTTCCCCAAAATACTTTCGCGTTTGTCGAATCCCACGCGATGTTTGACGCGACTACGACGCTAAGATCTTTGTTTGTCCTGTTTTTACGTTCGATTTCACGCATAACGCGTGATTCTCGCAGTGAACGGAAAATGGTTATTTGTATGACATAAATAAAGAATATTTACGAAAACTAAATAAACTGTTGTTGTGATTGACATGACGTGTATGCATAAACAACTGTGTTGAAGATACGACATTAATTCGCAGACTAAATAAAATATTGTTATAATAAAATTCAATCTACCAGATTGAACATTTATTCGCTGGATTCATGTAACCTGGTGGGCAACTGAACGTTGTAGAGAATTCCTGAGAATTCATGACACTGCCGTTGCACCTGAAATAATTAAAATGAATCAATATCCATTCGCTAAAGGGTTGACATCATTGCACACTACGCTCGTTAATTGCAAGGTTAGATTCAACGCCAACGGTTTGTAAACGCAACAGAGGAGCGTAGAAAACAAGCAAGATAAATTTGCCTAAGGTTTCTGAACTCACTTTATATATTACATGTGAAAGACGAAACAAACAGAATACGACATTATATAAATGTTCACCCCAACAGAGGTGGACATACACAGTTTTAGCGACCCGAATAGTTCATTCATTGTCAACCGAGGCGAAGACGAGATTGCCAATGGGCTCTGAGGGTCTCTAAAACTGTATGTCCACCGCTGTTGGGGTGAACATTTGTATTATAATTATACCGAATAAATCTTAAAACAGAAATCATGACAATCTACCAGGTCACCCTCGTAGAGCTGAATACATGTACGTATACAAATATACAAGTTGAAAGAGTTCAAGAGCAGTGATTTAATTCTACTGCCTTTTTACTTTCATGGTTGCATTGATAAACTTAATTTCAGCAGCTTGAGCCAGGCGTAAACTTGATTTTTACAAAAACATCCGGCGCCATCCTGTACGCAGATGTAGGCTACACTGCGTTCCATTTTGCATAAGAACACTGAAACGAGCTGCACACTGCTTGAGTATAGGGTATGTCAACACCATTCTCTTTCAACAAATACACTGTACATAATTATATGTGATATACAGTCAAAACTCGCAAAATACTAGTACGTAACAAAATCAAACAAAACAGTGCTGTTACAAAGCAAAGCCCACAACTCTCAGATTTAAGGTAGGTAGACGAGGTGCTCAATCGCAGATCGAATGTCTCAAAGCGTGTAGCTGAGCGCGCTGGCGAAACGAACGGCAAACGCGACAAAAAATCACGTGAAATCGCTACAAAATCCTAGTTTTTCGCCCCAATAAGATAGTCAAATAGGGAACGTAAATCTAACAAACCAAATAGTTCATGGATATTGCCGCGTATAACACGATAACAAGTTATTAACTTAAATCAGGTAGATTCTGGAATAAGGTACCCGGATGGTGGTAGACATACGAATCTGGCAGCAAGTCGACACACGAATATGTCTACCTGTAATACGCGAATCTGATTGGCTGTTATGGTCATGAGGTATAATAATCACAAATGTCATTTTAGACCAAGCAATTATTCACATCGGCATATGTGCTGTAGTGTGGGTAGTGTGATTGACTCAGCTTTGCGTACGTTTATATTCATATGCAACCTTGAACCATTGTATATGTCGTATTAACGTGGCATGCGCCTTCTTGCAATTGTGACAAACACTTACCTGATCCTCCCTGGACTGTGTGAACCGAATAAGACTTGATATCTAGCGCTTTGTTCGGTGTATTTACTGCACCATACCTGACGAACAACAACGAAACGGTCACAGTAATAGGAATTGTAAGTTTGAAATTTGTCACGGGATTAATCTGGGACAATGCTGGAATATCAAATATGTAAAATGCAATAACTGATGCTCTGTGCCACTAACCTGCCCAAAATTAATGAAAAACAGTTGTTCTGGGGAAAAACCCATACCAGGAATCCATGGTTCTTCCCCATTGTCTTTGACCCACAACTTGTAACCCTGTAGCAACGATATATTTAATAACAATAATAAATTTAATAACATTAACTATGAATGTAATGACACCCTAATTACGAGTGTGATAATAAATGCAACCACAAAGGTATAAACACTTCAACCATAAATGTAATACTGTACTTAAATATGAGATGCATCTTTTAATTACACTTTTTAAATGGGTCAATAGATGATGAAGATATTGATCAAGACATGTTATGTTATATGATTTTAAAATTAAATATTATTCATGAAATTGACTTGATAATTGCTTGAAAACGCTATTAATATTAAAAAAATATGAAATGAGTTTGAGCAAATTCGGTGATAACTAGCATAATTTGAAGAAAAAAATCGACAAGAAAGGGAAGATACATTTCAATATTTGCATAAATTAAAATTTGTCGGTATGTTTTACATATGTCATACATATTGATCTGTACAAAGTATTAAACAATACAGACGACGTTTTAAGTAGAGGAACGTGATGATTGATATTTGCAAATGTCAAAACAATCATACAAGGATGTTTAAGCTATTTCAAGTTAAATTTGGCGTTCAATGCCCATAATACACAATGCCATTTTCACTTACAAATATCATGTTGCAGTGATTTATGATAAATTGTATTCGTGCTTGTTGTGATTCAGCATGCGTTCCCATTCCGCGCGCTTTAATACATTCGTTCTGCGCTTGCGCAATTCGTCACAATGCAAGACAACGTTGTGCTCAGTTTTAGTGATTTGCGCACCGCAATATAGTTACTAGAAGAAAGGTTGAGAAACTGGAACAATTTTTTTTCATTACGCATTTTTTTTAAGTAAACATTTGAATAAACAATGCAACCAAAGAGGGTCAATACACATGTCACTATTAGCGTCAAGTTTTGTAGGCTCATATGTTGACTTATGCCTGAGGTTTGAAAATTAATGTATAATTATTCAAATATTGAGTTTTGTTATGATTTGGAACACGCGCATGAACCTGAATTCAAACTAATTCACACCTGTGAACAATATCATTTTCTAACCGTCCTAACTGCGTAACCGTGAATGGTATTATTTCTACATATCTCTAGTTCAGAGTCTTATTTTGAAAATGTAAGCATTTTCCAAAACATCGGGAACCTCTCTCAAGTTATTTGCTAGAAAAAAACCTAAGAAAAACCACATGATGACTGTAAATTCAATTTCTATGAATCAATAAGTATCTATACGACACGGTACCTGTTCAAATTGAAACCATCGTCGACGTCGTTTGGATCTGTAGTCGCCCATCAATGAGGATTCCTAGGCGATAAACGGCTACACAACTAAATTTTTGACCCATACACGTCACTATGACGTCACAGACGTGCCATTTCACTGAAGGGCTTGATTTATTGAGAGAGTGTATTACTCAGGTGAGTGGCTTAAATATATATATATATATATTTGGATTTTGTTTTCAAACATAATTATCATGTCCATGTCTGTTAATATTTATAAGGTGTAACAATTCCAATTTTCACTCCAACAGAGGTGTACATACAGATTTATCAACTCGAAATACTGCGACACATCCCTAGCATATTGCCAGAGCAATAAGTTCTAGTGAAATCATGGCCAAGCGTGATGGGTATGGGATGATAGAAACCACGAGCGCCAGAAAACGTAACTGTCATATTCAGAGTTGTCGGTATTTTGATGTCATTTACCATGCCATAACCAGAATACAGATTATAACCACAACAATTATAGAACGCTCATTGGCTAATTCAAGAGAGTCCTGGTACGAGTGGAAGCATTAAATATACCCTAATATTTCAATATGTATTAGTCATTGCATTTGAACCAAGGTTAAAGAGTTGCAGTCCTTTCATGTATCTTACCATGTATGCTGCCTTGAGACCTGCATTGTCAGCAATGTTTTCTCCCAATGTCTTGTGGCTGTTCAGCTGTAAATACATATAATTACAATCTTACAATTCATCTCGACCAAAATATCCCTATACCACTGAGTAGAGAAGAATGCCAATATCAACTTGCCGCTGATTTATACAATGTCACATGCATGTCTTCATCGGTGCTCCGCCTGCAGCCATCTTTGATTTGGCTGCCCCCATTTATTACGCGAAGTAAGCACTGTGTTCCGGTGTTTAAATTGCTACTCATAGGGACGACACAAATTGTATGGATTGTTGGTTGTGAATAACGTAAACTGTGCTACATTTATTGTGTTGATTTACCGTATTATGTACGAAAAAGAGAACGAGCTTACATTAATATTGCATTCCTCGACCCTATAGGTAGAATATTGTTTCAAAAAGCAGTTTTCCAACTTAACGTAGGCCTGTATAGAGCTATTACTCCACCACTTCATGTAGTTGCCACTACTGTTGTACATCCGACCGCCTAAGAGATAAAGAGACAACGTTAATTTAAAAATTCAATATGGCAATATATTATATGTAAAACCATTTTCGGGCCGTGGCTATTATTCAGTCCGCTAACATTCGAAAGCCGGTGATTTTTCTACAGCGTTTCTTGGTAAAGTACTCTTAGTCTCAAACACTACCCGTTACTAGTTTCTTTGTACCCACCGATATCAGTTTTTTGGGAAAATGCTCTTATTTTGTTTCAAACAGTACCAGTACGCTAGTTGTTTTTGTTCTCAAATTACTAGAAGAGGACCTTTTATCGGAACTAGGTTGTTCTCACGTGAATTAAAGCGGGAGGGTCGTCACCTGCGCACGCGCGGGAATTGAATCCCAAGCGACGATAACAACACGAGCTGAGTACGCAATGGCTCATGGGTAGACGCTTGTCTGTAAACAATGACACGCTATGACCATTTGACGCATGCGCAGGTGTCGAATCCCCAGCTTTAAGTGAAGGACACAACGTCCTCATCCGCCATTTAAAAATAGAGCCTCGGACGTTTACTAAAACTCCACACATTACGTTAACTAACGTTAGTATCCTCGTAGCCTATATAACTTACCAGCATCAACAGCATGTGTCATCTCGTGTCCTATTATGGCCCCAATGCCCCCGAAATTGAGATAACTATAAGAAATTCAATCAAAAAATAGTATAAGTAGTAGAATTTAGAATTTACAGTTCACACATTATTCAAAAGTGTCATATTTAGGTTTTTCGTTTCCCGGAGTTCGGATTGGAGATATATAATGTCAAAAACTATATTTATCACTCCCGTTAGTATATATAGCACTCTATATATACTATATATAATTATGTTCAGATGTGACTGCACTTACCTTGGTGAGTCTTTGTGATAAAAAGTACCTTGAAGAATTCCTGCTGACAATACTACAAAAGAAACAAAAAAGAGAGGGTATATATGCATTAGAAAATTACTATTTCCACATTTGTTCAACTATCAGGGGGAAGTCCTCTCCTCTGTGTTCTCCAATACGTGCCAGGGGGAATCTCGTCTCATCTCTATGTCACGTTCCTTTGAGGTACGGGATCGGGGAAGTCACTTAACTTTACAGTCAAATAGACGCACA